AAACCCCAAACCCTAAACCCCAAGGTAGTTCTCGGAGAGTCCCACCTGTCCGCAGGAGCGAAGCTGGCCGCTGCCCCGACGGACGCGGAGGCGCCTGCGGCCGATGCGTCTGCCAAGGCTCAGGGATGGAAGTCGGGGGTTCAAGGCGGTTTAGGGTTTAGGGGTCCAGGGTTTTAGGGTTTAGGGTCTAGGGTTTAGGGTTTAGGGTTTCGGGTTTAGGGTTTAGGGTTCGGGAGTTTAGGGTTTTTGGGTTTAGGGTTTTAGGGTTTAGGGTTTAGGGTTTTTGGGTTTAGGGTTTAGGGTTCAAGAGGGTTTAGGGTTTAAGGGTTTTAGGGTTTTAGGGTTTTGGGGTTTAGGGTTTAGAGTTTAGGGGTTAGTGTTTAGGGTTCAAGGCTTGCAAACCTACAGACAGAAGATATGTTTTTTTTTTCGGGGGGAGGGGCGGGGGTTGGGTGTGTGGTTCTTTGATGGGGGGGAGGAGGAATCCTAGAATCTAAGCTTGGTATGGCTTCAGATTCCGCCTGGATGTCTGAGCACCGCAGAGCCAACAACACCGATCCTTGAAATCTCACTGTAGGAAATAAGTAGTGCACCAGACAAACCCCGCAATAAGTAGTCACGGCAGACACGTTTCCCTAAAACCTAGGTCGTTCCTGCAGACCCCTACGCTGAACCCGCAAAGTCCCGGACCTTCAGGAGCCTTAAAGCACCAAAACCCTCATGCAGAGGGTTCAAGGCGACTGCGCGGAGCCTTAGAGCCTTAGACAAACGGATTAGGGGCCTTATGAGTAAGAATTGGCTCGGGGAAGGGGGAGTGGTTACTAAACCCTATAGACCCTCAACCCGGAACCGAATTACATCCTAGTTATACCAGGGACTGCAAGGGGGATGCTGCTACAACTCTTCCGGCCTCTATAGGACCCAACTCTGTAGGCTCCAAAACCCTGAATGTAAACCCCAGAATCCCCAGGTACAGATTTATAGCCTGAAGTTTCGGGCTTCAAACCCTCAACGAAAACAGGGGCCCCCCCAAAGCACGTAGAAGGGACCAGCGCTTTGCAACAAGCCTATAAATACCCCTTGAACAACCAAGCCTCTAAGCGCAGAGCACGTCCTGAACCTTAAGCCCTTAACTTTAAACTCCGAAAATTCAAACCCTGAACCTCGAGCCCAAACCCGAATCCCTAAGCCAGAAGCCCGAAGCCCTAAACCCTAAACCCTAAACCCTAAACCCTAAACCCTAAACCCTAAACCCTAAACCCTAAACCCTAAAGCCCTAAACCCTAATGAATCCCCGAGCACCTCAGGCGGCCTCGGGCCTTGCCGAGAAGGCCACCGCAGGCGACGAGCACGTGGCCATTGCCGGGGAGGCTCGGGTCTGTCCCGGGTTTGGGTTTTAGGGTTTAGGGTTTAGGGTTTAGGGTTTAGGGTTTAGGGTTTAGGGTTTAGGGTTTAGGGTTTAGAGTTGAGGGTTGAGGGTTTAGGGTTTGGAAAGATAAAAATAGGGGCCTGGAGTATTCGAATAGGGTTTTGGGGTTCCTTATTATAATTACAGTATAATATACCACCATTATTAAAGGCCCCTATGTTCGGGGCCTGGATAACTAGAATAGGGTTCCCATGCGTTTTCTTGGGGTTTGTTATTATAGTTCGTAATAGGATGTAGCAGGGGGGCTTCTTACGCGGATTAGGGTTCATTGGGGTATATTCTGGTACCTACGAAGTATACAGCGGCTGTAATTAAGGGGGTAACATACCCAAGTCTTCAGACCCAGCAAAACCCCAAACCCTAAACCCATATTCAGTGCCAGCTTAGTGCGCTCGCGAGGTTCTCCCAAGTTGTGGTACGGGGATCATAGAGTTGCAGGTTTTGTGGGTCTTCCGGGGCCCTAAAAACCTGAACCACATAAAGGTAGGGAGGCCGGTCAGGGTCGAGACTTCAAGGTTTTGGGCATCAGCGCTTAGGCTTGGGGGTTTAGGCAATTTAGAGTGCATTCGTGTGTTAGGTTCTACTTCCTGGGAGAAGCACGGGTTTTTAGGTTTAGGGTTTAGGGACAAATCCCCAAGCGTATGGCCAAGATACTGTCTGTAGTCCCCAGGATGTAAAGCATCCGAAGCATCTGTGTACGTCCAGAGAATGGCCTGTGGAGATCAAACTCCCGAGTGCTAGAGCTTCAGGGTTTGCGGTATAAGCTCGTAGGGTTTGGGTTTAGAGCTTCAGGGTCTAGGGTTTAGGGCCTAAGGGTTTAGGGCTTGGAGCTTGGAGTTTAGAGCTTGAGGGTTTAAGGATAAGGGCTGCAGGGTTTAAGAAGGTTGCAGGGTTAGGTGCTTGGGGTGGAGGTTTTAAGCTTGAGGTTTCTTGCGCACTTGCACATGGGGGTTACTGGGTACGGTAGCTATAGTTATAGACAGCTCAAGACCTGTATCTCTCTCTCTCTATATATATATATATACATGTGTGTATATATATATATATATATATGTATATACATATATACATATATACGTATACACACAGGGGCCGAAAACTCACTACTATGGAAGTACTAAGACTAATTATCCCCTAGGTTCCTTACGATGGGCATCGTCGAAACCGAAAGCCCCAATTCCAACAACTGAAGGCTCCTACATTGCTGATTCAAGCCTTGCTTCAGACCAAGCCTCCGGGTCCAACCGAACCCCTAAACCCGAAACCTAAACCCTGAACCCTGAACCCCAAACCCTAAACCATAAACCCTAATCTCTATATCCTAAAACCTAAACCCTAGACCCTAAACTTTAAACCCTAAAAACTAAAACCTAAACCCTCAACGCTAAACCTGAAACCCTAAACCGCAAGCAGCTTTGAATACCAGGCCCTCGACTGCAGGAGTTGGACAGTTTATACGATAAGTATAGCAGGAACCCCGGTTAGGAACCACAAGGAATAAAGATGCCAAAAACTCTTAAAGCCTAAACCCTAAACCCTGAACCCTAGCTTGCCCTAACTGCTACATCACTGCTAAACCCTGAACAATATTTTGTGATTGCGCTGAAGGACCTCTCCATGGGAGAGGAAGCCGAGAAGCGGAGGTCTGTGGCCACCGGGGGGGGGGGGGCAAT